TATATATATATATATATATATATATATATACTGTATATTTAAGTGCCTTTTATATTGGTGAATTATTTTGATGGAATAGCCAATGTCTTTATCGCTAATATGGTCCGATACCATGCCGATAATATCATGCATCCCTATTTTTGTCAGTTAAAATCTCAGGTTAATTTTGTTACTTAAAGAATACACCACTTCCTGAGGAATATTTAAAACAGGAGCACGTCGGGGAGGAGGAGAGGTTTACCAAGCTCCTTGATGAAAGTGAAGGAAAAATGAGACTCGGGGAACATAAGAAGTCAGGGGCAAAGATTAAATTCAGACAAGCTCTGCTCCTCTGATCCTCACCACCAACCCTGCTTTGGTGTAATTAACGAGCAGGATGAGAAAACCAGTGACAGGAAGGAGAAATGCGATTGGAGCGGAAGATATGAAGCATCGTGCGTTTGACTGCTTATTGCATCTGAAGCGTGTTGATATGTATGTAATTGCTGCACCGATGCTTTCATGTGGTTGGACGATCAGAAGAGTTGGGTTTTTGTACAGAAATCCACATGTTGAACACATGTTGTAAAAAAATATGAAATCTTTGCTGCTTTGCTCGTTCGTGGTTGGAGATGGTGAATAAAGTGCTCGAACTACTAAATGTTATTTTTGAACGTATTTTGAGCACCTCTGAAGCCTGTTTTGGATTTTAAACTGTGTAGTGGAAATTCTGGTTTGGTCTACAGGGTGTGTAAGGTCAAATTGTTTTTTTTTGTGGACTACAAGCAGAACTAGTGAAGGATGAAGAGCATCCCTCTGCTCCTCAATGCTCTTTACACCGGACTCTTCTGGGTATAGTAAAACTGTTAAACAACGATGGTTTGTACCAGCTGTTCAACACAGCCCCCCCACCCCCTCTCTCTGCCACTGTGTAATCATTTCATCAACTCCTTTGCTTCCCCTGTCTTCTCCCTTCACCGAACAGGCACATAACAAAACACACTCAGTGACATTGTGCATTTTCACACCATCACTTTTGGCACTCGATGAGACGGCTTCCCAGCTCGCTCCCGTTGCCGCATTTTTGATGTGCGGGGTGGCGTCGGGGCTGCTTTCTGATTGAGTGATTTATCGTGTTGTAGAAAAGAGGCAACGTTGCAGCACTCTCAAGGTCAGCAGGCGGTGGCATTACAGGGAGCGGCTAACATGCCCCGACAGCTGCAGGTTCAAGGTTCCCACCGTGTGGGCAACACATCTTAGAAAATGGAGTAGAAGATTGAAGATCACCAAAAAAGGCATCCATTGAGCAATTAAGGGGAACAGGTTTATTTTTTGGGTAATGGGAAATGGTAATAGGTGCTACTCAGAATATGGTGTTTGTGTGTGTCATAAACTTATGTCTTGTTCAGGTTTTTCTGCATCACAGTGCCAACCAGGAGACGTCCACCTGCTCTGCAAAGTGGGATGTGGCATGAAAGCAAGGTCATATATAGCTAATGAAGTGTCCATAAAATGTCCTGCAAAAGAAGTTATGACTCCCTGATGGTTATTGTTAGGATAATTTAATACTATCATCGTAGCTCATTAAATAAATATGCCACACAGGAGAGGTAGATAATTTTCTTAATCCCAGGTTTAATCTTGCAAGATGGAACAGAGGTCGAAATACAAGCAGGCAAGATGTTTACATGACACTTCATCTCCAAAGTTTGTTCACCGAGAGCACAAAAGAGTGTCTTTTTATAATGTTATCACACAAAGGCAAGGTCAGACGACTCTTGCAGCCTCCTTGCTTATTCGGGTGAAAGGCTCCATGCTTATGCAGCACTCTGATCCAGACAAAAACAACTCTTAACACACACACACACACGGTTAATATGAGTTATAACATTTGACTTTAGTAGGTGAAAAACATCTGTGACCTTTCACATCTCCATCATTACCAACATGGTAACGATGTTGGCATTTCAAGGTTCTTTATTGTCATTCATATCACTTGTGGTACATGAGGTGGAACGAAATTGTGTACACAGGGGCCCAGTTACATCCAACAACAGCAAATATCTAAATTTTAAAAGAAACCGTAATACGGATCTAAGCTATAAACTAAGAAATACGCTAAACACTATTAGTGCAAAATAATAATGCCGAACAACAGCAGCACGAACATGAGTCTGTGTGAGTAGATGAGTACGAATGAATGCAGCTGCATGAAATAATCAGCAGCATGGATAATCAGCAGCACATATCATCAATCAAAGTGACATTAGTGGTTTTACAGTGATTTACCATAGGTTCAATAATGTCCTTCTAGGTACTTGGAAAATTGTACTTTAAGAATTTAACTTTTTGAAAGAGAAGTGTGTCAACTAGATTTATGATTTTTCTTTTACATGAGATTATCCAAAGTGAATTGGGAGAAAATAAAATGTTTTTATGGAATTATTTGAAAGCATCCTTTCAATACAAGGTGCTGTAGATGGAGTCCTCAGTCTGTGTGGAGTTTGGAAGTGTTGATTTAAGTCCTCAGCTTGGTGAATGTGCCACCGCTACAGTAATCCCAGACTGCATCAGCATGCACTCTTCAACAAAAGGCTGTAATTACAGAGTAAGATATTGTTGGATGTTGTGTGGGGGGCGGTGGGATGGGGACTGGTCGCTTTAGTACATTATTTCAAAAGGCTCGTCAAAAATACAAGTACGCCGAGCGGTTCAGAAGATCTAATATTTAATTGAAAGAGATTGTTTTAATCAATTTAAATTTGGAGGTAGGTCAAAACTTTTAATCACAAAGCCCTTAAAGGCCTTCTCGTTTCAAGTGCCACTTGTAATTGTGGTCAGCTTTTATGCACTTGATGATTAGTACTATTAAATATGTTATACAGTAGTGCATGATTTCAGGCAAATAATTTAATATATGCTATTTTCCTTGATTTTTTTTAATTTCTGGTATCTTTTTCATTCATTCAACCTTTATTTATACAAGTTAATCCCATTGAGCCTCCACATACATATAAGTTTGAAGACATTTTTGTATTCTTAAGAAGAACCTGTTCCTTGAGATGAAGATTATTAGTGCATATGGCTTGTACCAGTATTTTTAGTCTTTTGGTTTCAATTTTTTTTGTTTTTATGTGTCAGAGAAAATATGTGTGTGCACGTGTTGCAGGCTTGTATAGAAAGTCGAAGACATCTGCAACAGTCAGCAAAAGTTGTTTTCTAGTCGCCCATCATTTGCCACATGTCATGTTTGCATGAATAAATTGTCTATTGACTTGGACTTGCCATTTCTCTCCCCATCCCCCTGCTGTCCAGCTCCCACCACCAAAAAAAAAAGCTTTTATTTCTTAAGTGGTACAAAAGCCATAATTGGACTTGCTTTGAGAGAGGTGTCAGTATATGGGACATTGCTGATCCGGGTGAATTCTGTTAAATGCAACCCACCCACCCTTGCTAGTTCTCCCCCCGTCTGAACATCCCCAGCGGGGTCACCAGGATCACTAGCTTTTTTCCAAATGGCCATTTTGGCTGGCAGGTGCATTATACCCTTTATTTTCAGATTGTCTGTCTGCTCCTAATGCCTGGCAGGTTGATTGCTCCGGCTGCCTCACCAGGGAAAGGGCTGACGAGCACGGCCGGGACTAGCTGAAAGACAGTGATTACTGTTTTCCTTTAAGCCTGATTGAGGCCCTTGAAAGGAAAGATTTTAACCTTCTCCTGTTGGGAGTCGGGTATGGCTGCACATTGAAATGGCTTGTGTCATCAACCCAGTTCTGTAAACTCATCAGTGCTCCCAATAACCTTCACCCCCCCCCTCCCCCAACCCTCCATCCAAGAAAGAGGATAAATCACTTTATGGACAAAGTGACAGATGACATTATCATTTAGATTATCTCTGTAGGATGGAAATTCTGGCGTGCGGTGTTGTAATCTTAGATTAACTGTACGGCTCATACGATGATAAACGCCTGTAGAAACAACGCAAGAATTCCCCTTGTTCTTTTTACATGTAATAACATTTCTTGGAAGATGTGTTTGAAAAATCCTGTTCATCTTCTTTGAGGTGGAGCCGGTGCGCAGTTTGCCAGCTGGTGCGGCCTGTATTTTGTTGTACATTCTTTGAGGTTGAATGGGAGTTTCAGGACCTCCTGCTAGGACGGTAATTGCACAGGCTTGTCGTTCAGGGAGAGACTTGTCTCGGGGCGGCCAGGCGGAAAACCTCTGTGCCATCCCTGTGCCACCTCTGAAGAGCACAAGACAATCCCTGCATCACCATCTGCTTTTGCACCACGCCGTCATCTGGCCAAGTCCTAAAGGATGGGCCGAGGCAGCTGCTCCACACCCTCTGCCCTGTGGCCTAGAAGGGGGCAACCTGCAACTGGGACACAGAGGAAACGGCTACACTGACAGCTAGACTCTATTGAATGGCTGGAGTCTCATTAACAGTGGGGAAAGACAGGGGTCCCTATGACAACAAGACACCCGCTGTGCTGTGTCCCTTTAATACAAACTTCCTCGCTTTAGAGGAGCAGGTTCTTTTTTTATTTTGAAAGGAGACATAATGCTGACAAACCAAACAAATGCAAGGCAGCGATGCAAAATCACTCCACGGAGGTGCCCCATAATCACTGGGTGGAGCTTTTATTGAAAGAAGAAAATAATAAAGGAGCAAAATAAAGTGGCCAAAAGGTGTGAAATGTCTGCAGGGAAGCGTTGCATCAGCTTTTGATCAAGTATTTACTCTAATTTAAATCTGCATGGTAACTGACTTTGACAAAATGTGTTACCCAAAATACATGGACACAGTGATGTAGTTGATTGAACTTAGCTCAGTCTGATCTGAGGTTTAATGGAGTTCACTTTCTGATCAACAGAGGAAGAAGAGGAGGAAGAAATTCCTCCAGCTCAACCAGTAGTCGAAGCTCCAACTGAGAAATTGGACCAGAAAGAGGAAGAGGAGGAAGGTACTTTTAATATCTGTTCTGTTAATTAATCATAAGTTTGAGGGACATTTTCTTTGAACTTTTACGAATTGATCCAGAAAGCAAATTGTTTTCCGATATTGGAGGAAGCTTCTGTATAAAGTTGACGTTTAGCAGCAGGGAGCGTCGCAACATTTCATCATGTTTGTGTTTCTCTGTCAAGCTGCCCCACACGAGCTTACAGAGGAGGAGAAGCTCCAGATCCTGCACTCTGAGGAGTTCGTTAATTTCTTCGACCACAGCACTCGCATCATTGAGCGCGCTCTGTCCGAGCACGTGGACGTCTTGTTTGACTACAGTGGTCGTGACCTGGAGGAGAAGGAGGGGTAATGATCACAGAACAGCTGGTGGTGTCTGTAATTATTTCTTATTTGAAGTGGAACCTTTAATTCATTTGTGGGACTTTTTTAATTAATTATTTTTATTTTTTATTTTAGGGAAATTCAGGCAGGTGCAAAGCTTTCACTTAACAGGCAGTTCATGGATGAGCGCTGGTCCAAACATCGTGTTGTCACCTGTCTGGACTGGTCTCCCCAGGTGATTTTATTTTGACAGTTCTTTCATTAATAAAACCACTGTTTTGAAACCTTTTCCAACGCACCATTAAACGGCTGTTCAACTGCAATTTTCCTTTTCTTGTAAAAAATAATAATTAAAAAAAAATCGGCTTTTAAAAATACTTTGGATAATGTTTTATTATTATGTTACTTGAGTTTGACAGCATTTCTTTCAGCCGAACCTCCCTTGGGAAAAGTAGGTTTTGTCCCATACAAATTGTCACTGAGCTGTAAAATGTAATGATTTGTTTCCTCCGGTGTCTAAGGTCATTTTATTCCTGATTCTGCTACGACATGTGACAGTGATTGAACACCAACTCTTTGTTCACTGCATTTCTAGCTCACAGCAACACTAACACCTTTGTAGTTCTTCTTGTGATGAGGGTGCAAAGATTCAAGGTTCGTTTATATCCAGATAAAATTTATCTGTTTTTGATGGGGATTTGAGTTGTTTTGCATGGTAAAATGTCTTTATTGAGCTTTTGAAAACCGCTCCAGTGTTCATCCGAGCCCCTGCTGAACTGTCCTAGTTAGTTAACATGATGAACAGAAATTAAAATAATTACTAAAGTTCTCAAAAGGTCAAAATAACTTAAATGAGTCTCGAAGGGGAGAAGTACTCATTCTTGAATGCAGCTGGCAGTGCCACATAGAACAGCCCAGCTTTAGGGGCTTGTCTGCCTCTTAAAATTCATTAATCAGATTTTAGTTTATTTGCTATTTTGTTTTTGTTCTTTCAAACAGTACCCTGAGCTCCTAGTGGCCTCGTACAACAACAATGAGGAGGCACCACACGAACCGGATGGTGTGGCTTTAGTTTGGAACATGAAGTACAAGAAATCTACACCAGAGTATGTCTTCCACTGTCAGGTACCAAAACCAGCCTCTTTTTTTTTTTTTTTTTTTCCTCACTGGCTTCAAAATGCATGAAACATCACCAAGCATTCCTTTCCTCTGCTCCCACAACCCCTCCTACCTTCACACTGTGAGTTCACCAAGCTGGCATTCGTCTCCACCGCCACATTTATCTACAAACACATGTTCTGGAGAAGACCCGTGGTGCAAGACCTGAGTGCAGTCCAAGCACTGCAGCAGGATTATGTGTGTGGGGCAGGGCTGGTTATCATGTGCATCTAAACAAGGGCTCTGTGTTCAGACGAGCTAGCTGGGAGACCAGTTGAGCTCCATCTCTGCTCAGCCTTATTATAATGCTTGCCCCGAGGCTCCTTCACCAAGACGAGTTGAGTAGAACCACATGTTGTTGCCTTCAGAGCGGATGTCGTTGTAGGCATACTGCTAAGATGAATCAAACTGAACAGAAGTGTGAACGCAGTTTTCTTTGTGCCTCCAAGTTGGCTCCAAAAGTAATTTATTTGCTTGTCATGACTTTTGTCAACAAAGTTCTCTATAAAAAATGGTTATTGTGATAGCTGAGGGTGTAAGTGTGTTGGGCCACGTTACTCCCAATAAAATGAGTTACTCAAAAGTTTGTGGCAAAGCCAAGTTTACTTGATTACTATTACTAAGTTTCAAGTTTTAATCAAATACTTGTTTTGCTGCATTTTATTTAAGGGAGAAAGCTTAACTTAAGGGTGTCACTAAATAAGAAGTCACCTGGTGGAAGTAAATATTTTTCAGTAAAGGTGTAAATGTCATTTGTTTTAGGTGATCACTTGCTTAGTTTAAAACTTTCAGATTGGACTTAGATTTGTATTAAAAACGCACCTTTATTTTAAAGAAGTCTACTGTGGTCAGCACAGTTTAAAAGCATCGGAGGTGACACCAACTTGGGTCTGGAGCTTCTCTGAATCGGGCCAGTTCTCGACCATATGTTGGATACAGTAGTCCCTTGTTTATCGCGGGGGATCTTTGCCCTGAAGACCTGCGATAAGTGAAAAATCACGAAGTAGGAATAGTAGTACAAGTAGTGTGTATATAAGGCATTTTAAACCCTTCCCACACTCTTGCAATATTCTAAACAATGTTTCTAAACTGTAAACGCTCTAAAAGAGCACAGAATGCCATGATTTCAGCTACCTGCAAGCATTCTTGGCCACGCCCACTTCTATGCTCTGCACTGAGAACAGCTGATCAGCTGCAGCAGGAAGTTTATCCTCCAGTATGGGTTGCACAAATGTGATAAATAATTTAAAGTAATTCATTTTAAATAAAAATTCCATGCCTATCGTGCAGCTCATCCATCAATCAGACATTGTGTATGTCCAATCTTATTATGAAAAACCGCAATTGAGCGAGTCCGTGATAAACGAATCGCAAAGTAGCGAAGGAATGCTGTACTTTATTGTCTGTAGACATGAATGTAGATGTGGGACTCCTGGTAAGATCACATTTTGTCTGATTGTTGTAAACTTTATTGAGAAAACAGCAACATTCTTTAAAAACCATTGTTGGTGACAGTTGGTCTATACAGATGATTTAATACAATGTAGTTTTGTTTGTAGGAGGAAGACTAATTTGCTCTGAGTTCTGGGTAAAATAAGCATTTTCTAAATAGAAAAAAAGCAACCACATTGACTCTGCTTATTTCTCACACACACACACAAAAAAAAAATCCCTTTTTTTGGGAGCATTTCATAAATAAAAAGGTTTCCGTGAAAAAATGTAGGCCACTACAGGAACATGTTCTGGTAGCAGACTGGTGCAGAGATGGCTGCTGTAGCTGTACAGCCTGGATCATCAGCAGAACCCTGGAATGCTCGTTTGGAACAGTAAAAACAAATGACGAAGGCCTCATCTCTGCGTGCTCCCAGCAGGCGTTTCATTTTTCCATCAGTTTGTAACAGAGTATCAAACCACAAAGTATGAGCCATGTTTTCCCGTCAGTTTCAGGTATTTACACTTAGTCAACGGATGCTGTTGCATGATGCAACAAAAGCAAAAATCAGCTTGTTTTACAGATTGTTACCATAGGAACACAGAAGCTCGGAGTAGACTGAAATATTTGTCTTCATTTTGTCAACCTAAACAGCACAAACCCAAAAGTTTGATTAAATATGATGTCATCTGCTTACACTTCCTCCGTTCTTAGTCTGCCGTTATGTCAACATCATTTGCAAAATTCCACCCGAACATCGTCGTTGGAGGCACGTACTCTGGACAGATTGTTCTGTGGGACAACAGGAGCAACAAGAGGACCCCGGTACAGAGGACCCCCCTGTCAGCAGCAGCACACACGGTACTGTGAACACCAGTGGGCTCAGTCTGGTTTATATTCAACACAAGATAAACTTCACCATTGTTGTCCTTGCAGCACCCGGTGTATTGTGTAAATGTAGTCGGTACCCAGAATGCCAACAACCTGATTAGCGTCTCCACGGATGGCAAGATATGCTCCTGGAGTCTGGATATGCTCTCACAGCCACAGGTAACATTTCCTGAGAATTATATTTCTGAAGAATTTAAAGGAATACATTTGACTGGCTACTATGAAAGTACATAATATTCTAAAAGAGGGGACATATTTATTATGCATAGCACACACTGTCCCTTATATCCATCCTAAATGTCATTTTGGCTAAACTTTTTGAAATTCATGTTTTATTTTCTTATGCAACTCATTTTTCAATCTGAAGGAAATTGTTTTTGCCAGTTGTGTCATTACACTTGTGCTGCCAAAACCCTAAAGTCATTTTTTTTAATGCTAGTTCAACTTAGGTTATGTGTAAAAAAAACAAACAACAAAAAAAAAACCTGTCAAGTGATTTTTATAGGTTGTGCTTGGCAGGACGTGTTAACATAAAGTCTGAATCGGGAGCTTGTTACGGATGTTATTTCATGTTCCCTCCCTGCCGCAGGACAGCATGGAGCTCGTGTTCAAGCAGTCCAAAGCTGTAGCCGTCACCTCCATGTCTTTCCCGCTCGGAGACGTCAACAACTTTGTGGTGGGAAGCGAGGACGGCTCCGTCTACATGTCGTGTCGTCATGGAAGGTGCGTCTGTTGGCGACCCACAGCCCCCAGCGTCCCTCTCAAACGCCAGCAGGAAACTGAGACAACTTGTTAGGCCCACCTAGGACCGAGTGTCAAATAAATAAAGCCCACTCACTTCCCAGCGCAACTCAAACCCAGCACTTGATCTCCTGCTGTTTGAGGTTTTACCCCTGCCCAGTCATCCTGTTTTTCTTTTCTGCTTGTCAGTTGTGTTTGTAAAGGTCATTCAATATAAACAGGGCACACATGCAGGGGAAACAAATCATTTTTTCCCCCTGTTCCTTTTCTCCCCTTCAGCTCAGCATGTTTCTCAGGGTGAGGCAGTTTGTTTACAGTAAGTTATCCCAAGGAGTATTAAAACTGCAGTTCATCCCACAACATCCTCATTTCAGAGACCGGGGCTTCTCTCATGGAAGATCCTCAGCAGAGAAATGTGGCTTAAATCACAGCTGCCATTGGGTAACATGTCAGCCACCCTTGTAGTAAACGCAGAGTCCACAGAGAGGGCATAGCTGCTAGGTTTTTGCACAACGGAATCACCTCTGTAATTGGGGGAATAATTTTCCACCTCATTTACAATGGTGTGATACTCTCATCGCAGTTAATAATGCATAAGCATCACTCATGCTGAGTATTTACCCCTCTACATTAATTATCAGAGTCTCAGTTGGATAACAGCTCTGCAACATGTGGATGAAGGGACACAAGCACTTTTTGCCTCCCTGCTGGTAATTACATGATATAAGTAAATGATTACTGTGAGCATGTCCAGGAGAGGTCCATCTGTGCCTGTTGCTTTCTTTTCTGCTTAATGACATGCCTAAACAGTCACGAGCAGCAGCGCTAACTGGTAACCTTTTAGCGTTGTATGTTTGTTTCGAATGTTTCTGCATGTTTGAATGTTTCCACTGAGGATCAGCTTTTCCCATCTGTTGCGTTTACAGGTTGAACTATTGCTCTCATTTTGATGTCGTCAGTGTGTTTTTGCCCATCCTCATCTGGATTTGTGTGCTCTACAGCAAAGCCGGGATTAATGAGATGTTTGAGGGTCACCATGGCCCCATCACAGGAATCCACTGCCACACAGCTGCAGGGCCTCTGGACTTCTCCCACCTGTTTGTTACCTCTTCATTCGACTGGACGGTCAAGCTGTGGAGCACCAAGGTACCCACCTTAAATACTAGTGTGTGTGTGTCTGTGTAAAGATTTGGCTATACTTGTTAACTGTTGCAGCCAGGGTACTTTGGACAACCCTGATCTCCAGTGATGGGCAATTTAATTATTTCAGGAATTTGGGGGCATTTTTATGCTCTTTTTTTTTTTCTGTTCCCAATGTGACAGCACAAAGCAAAGCCTACAAAAACATGGTTTGAGATGAGATGCCCATCAAGCACCTTTAGGACCAACTGGACCAAAGATTGCAAGCTGGACCTTCTCATCCAACATTTGTGTCTGACGTCTTAGATCCTCTACGAAATAAATGGGCACACATTCTCACAAATGGAAATTGTGTGAAAAGCCCTCCAAGAAATGACCACCAATGAGGTCCCTGGATATATTCAAGGTTCTTTATTTGGTGGAACGACATTGTGTACACGATACTGTGTATTAGTCATTTGACTTAGTGACTAATCCAGTGACCTCACCTGGAGAGCCAACACTTCCAGTCTGGTCAAGAAGGCCCACCAGCGTCTCTACTTCCTCAGGAAACTTTGGAGAGCTGGACTTGGGAGCTCTGTCCTGAGGAGCTTCTATCGCTGTGTGGTGGAGAATGTTCTCTGCACCTGCATCACCGTGTGGCACGGCAGCTGCACTGTTGCTGGGAGGATGGCTCTGCAGAGGGTGGTTGAGGCTGCACAAAAGACTGTGGGGAGCAGCCTTCCCACCAACTCGGACCTCTACACTTCACAGTGCAGGTGGAGGGCACTCCGCATCATGAAAGACTCCACTCATCCTGCATACAGTCTGTTCCAGCCCATCCCCTCAAGCAGGCGGCTGAGGAGCATCAGCGCAAGACCACCAGGCTCAGAAACAGTTTCTACGCTGCAGCTGTCAGACTGCTGAACTCAGGCTGCACTTAATTCAGCTTCATCTTATTTTTAAAAAAACTTTATATAAATATTTTTACTCGTATTTATTTATTTGTTAATTGTTAGGCTTCTTGATCTGGGACCTGAGTCCGAATTTCGTACCATAAACATGACAATGTGAGCTGGTAAGACAATAAAAAATCCTTGAATCTTGAACAAGAGAAGCTGTTACAGGTGTGTGAGCTGATGGTGCACCAGCTCCACACTGTCCTTGTTGGCGTGATGGTTTTGTGTGGTCACATATTTGTTCATATGGTGTATGTATGAATTACCCCAATATGAAAACTGCTCTGAACTGTTCTGTTATCTTTGATTTATTTTTTTATTTTTTTATGAATGTACTTGATATTTATGATTTTGCAGATATCTAATTTAAAGCATTTTTATTAAATCTAACTTTCTGATTGGTAAGTTTAAACAAATGGTATTTTAAACATTTTTATATTTGGAACGAACATTTGAAAACTCAGTTAAACTAAGGCAGGCTAAAACCTGTCGGATTGCTTTATACTACCTCATCCATGCACGTCTTTCTGTTTCAGTATAATAAAACATTACAGCAAACATCACTGAGTAGCAACCGAGTGAAGATGCATTGATTTGAATAAATCAGCGCTGCTGTCTCTCTTCTCTCCTGCAGAACAATAAGCCGCTGTACTCGTTTGAAGACAGCTCTGATTACGTGTATGACGTCATGTGGTCTCCCACCCACCCAGCTCTGTTTGCATGTGTGGACGGAGTCGGTCACCTCGACCTGTGGAACCTGAACGACGACACAGAGGTACTCAGAACTCACTGCGTTGTGCTGCTACACGTTGCAGTTTACATGTCTCTCTGTTACTGTACGCTTTTTGTTTTGTTTGTTTCAGGTACCCACCGCCAGCATCACAGTAGAGGGTAACCCAGCCCTCAACAGGGTCAGATGGGCTCATTCTGGCAGAGAAATCGCAGTGGGGGACTCTGACGGGCAAGTTCTCGTGTATGATGTTGGAGAGGTAAGCAAACATCACAGCTAATGCAGTTTGATGTAATTACTTGTGCGTGCTTTGTTGCAGACACGAGCGATTAATTACTCAGCATGGCCACTTCACCCTAATGAGATTATTTAAAAGAGCACCTCAAAGATTTAAATAACTATTCTGAGCAGTTCGAGTCTGTTATTTAGCCATTATCGATATGAATGAACCTCGCCTGTTACGTGCAAATTGAGTCACGCTTCTGTCGCGCCCCTCCTTCACAGCAAACTGCTGTTCCACGAAACGACGAGTGGACTCGCTTTGTTCGCACGCTGACGGAGATCAACGAGAACAGAGATGACGCGGAGGAGCTGGCAGCACAGCGTCTGGCCGCATGAGCTCAGCGCCGCTGGATGGAACGTTTCAGGGACCAGTTCGATGTCCGTTCTGCATTGATGGGAGGGAGAGAGATGTATTAACATGACTGAAAGAAACCGTATCAGAAAGAAGTATAGACTTCTGATGTCCAACATTTTTCTTAGACACCTGCCTTGTCAGTTAGCTGGAACATCACCAGTCTTCCTCAGACATCAGGGCGACCAACCTCAGACACTAACATTAAGCCATATTTACAAAAAAAGGTTTTCTTTTCTATTCAACCAGATGCCTTAACGTTACCCTTCAATATTTACAGCATGACAGCCTTATTTTTTTGTTTTTTCAAGCCAAATACGTGCACCACTGCACAAACTTTTAAAAGTCAATCATACTGTAGCCATTTTCTATTTCCTGTTATGTTCTCGTAAAACAATCACACCCATAAACATCCAGGATTGTAAAAATCTCATAGCTGTAGATGAAGCTGTCATCTCAACTCCTGTCGACTTGATAATGCTCACTCGTTTGTAGAATGATGAAATGTCCAGAGTTTGTATTTGTTTTATAATAATCAGAGGAGCTGGAGTTAATTTCTAAAGGACGATGTACTGCTCTGTGTCAAAACTGAGAATGTACTTTTCACAGTAGAAACACTTTGAATGATTTATTTCAATAAAATACAATAAATACACTTAAATTATTCCCCAATGTCCCTGGTTATAATTTCAAAATAAATATTTTGAAAATATCTGTACATCTTTGATTCTTAAAAGGTAGCTGGCACGTGCACCAAAGCTGTCACACCAGAAACGAAGCGGGAACAATCATTTGCTGAGCCATAACGTCCTTCTGTTGAGAAGTACAATACGTAAGGTAAAAGTGTGCAAGCATTGCAAAGATAATAACAGCTATACCCATGCAGCATTTAAAGTAGAACCAGTCAAATACATTAAATTGAAATGTGGACGGGAGGAACATGCAGCCCTTGAGGTTGACTCGTTCATGAGGCTTGAGGTACAGTTTTGGATTCTGCCGATTTGAAATTAGGCAGGTGCAAGCCAAACTTCCTCTCCACGCCAGCAAAGGTCGCAGCAGCCAGACGGTAACCACCCACGTGTTCGGCGGTCACAGACGGGTAGTCCTTCACCGCGGGTTTGGGAATGGGCTCTGAACCAGCAGGTCGGCTGAGGAGAGAGTTAAGAGTTTTACGTGATGCAAGGAGAGGTTTGTTTTTTATTTATACAGTTGAAGTACTTACTGTCCTCCAAAATCAACGTAGAAAAATCTTTGTAAGAGTTCGTAGGTCACCAGTGTTACACCAAACTGCGGTGAGGATCTTAAGACTCGAGCTAACAGGAGAACAAATATTTCTGAGGTTAGCAGCTAAACATTTCTGTTATTTCCCGTCTTATAAGCAGCTGTAGGACAATCAGTGGTGGGATGTAACCAAGTACAAGTACTTCGTTACTGCACTTAAGTACATTTTTCATGTAGCTGTACTTTACTTAAGTAGAGTTAAACGTGGGTACTTTCGACTTTTATGCCACTACATTTTACATTATCTGTACTTTCTACTACACTATATTTCTATAACGTGTTGTGTTACACGTTACATTCACGTTGCATTTTTTTTATTTGTTCGTTAGTTAGAAAGTAACCAATGGCGAGAGGAGTTGGTCCAATGAATCACTGCAAAGCGGGCAGGTATCATTAGACCCCCCTTCAAGAAGAGCTGGACCAATGACATATTCTAATATATACATTATTGAGTTGGGCACACCCACAGCACCGCTAACACACCCAAAATGGATTCCACCGCAGAGAATCAGCCAGAAGATATGCACCAGCCATGGCCTTATTGAAAGACTATTAAAAGATTATTGAAAGTATTCAGTACAGCAGGACAGATTCTCTCTCCCAAAAGAGCCAGACTGGACGCAAAAAACTTTGAAAACCAACTTCTGAACTTGAACAAGAAATTCTTGCTGCAATATTAAAATGTGTTGGTTCATGGGATGTAAGGAGACGAGATGTCTCCAGATGACTCGACACTCGGGTCAAGTTTTGAAAATGGTTTCAGGAAGTTAAAATATTGTTCGGTATTGACCCATTACAAGGTTGACTGGACAGTATTTTAACTAGAGTTGATGACAAACTGGAGTTGAAATGATCAGATATTCCTTTGTTAGGTCTAATGCTCCTTTTTTTCAGGCAGACAGTTTTTACTTAAACTTGTTTACTGCAGTTAAAATGACACACTGGTTTTGTGTTAAATAAAAATTTTCAAAGGTATAATCATTCCTCTTTCTTATTTTGCTTAATGACTTAACTCATCCCTGAAATTCTGACGCACAGAATTAAGTCCAAGTGTGAACTGTGTCATAATAAAAACATGTATTATCTGCAGCATTGTTCATTAAAACGGCTCAACACTATTAATGTATTACAGAAAATATACATACGGTAGACAAACTTAATGATATTGTAAACCATTGCATTAGGTAATACATTCAGCAAGTACTTTTACTTTTAATACTTTAAGTATTTTTAAAAGCAAGTACTTACTTAAGTAAAAACGTTAATGTGGTACTTCTACTTTTACTAGAGTACATTTTTGTCTGCTTATTTGTACTTTTACTTAAGTACAGTGTTTGAGTACTTTCTCCACCACTGAGGACAATGAACGTGTATATGCATGAGTGTTCTACCTCCTGCGCCTTTCCAAAATGCACTGAAACCTTCCTCTCGGAGGATCTTCTTGAAACAGTCGATGACTCCGCTGTATGTCGTCTGGCCCGCTCGAGCCGCCACCTGGAGCCTGGTTTTGATGACATCAGCAGGGGTCACCAGCGACGCCGCTGGCACACCTTGTTTGCCACAAAAACACATAATAAAGCACTTTGACTATACACAAATTGTGTCAGATTTCGATATCCCCGCCGCAGAATCACGCAGGGACTGAAATGGCTATACCTTCATGGTGCGAGACGGCAAAAGTGTTCACTATAAAGTCAGGCGATTGATGGAGAAACAACAGGAAGCTAACGCGTGGCTGACAACGTGACACATTCCTTCATAAAACACAACATCTGAGTTTACCCGTTGTTTGTTACCTGCAATAGCTCCGGCAGTGAGCAGCTGCAGAGGACCCAGCCTTCCCTCGTCATCTGCCAGCTTCTTCTTGGTGTGGGCATAGACGGGGAAGTAGATGGCTGAGAAGGGGATGTCGCGCAGAAAGCAAGCTTTGGCTCCCTAACAGGGGAAAAAAGGCATTCGTAATCATCGCAAGGGCTGATGAACAAACGGAGACAGATAGAGCTGGTTTGTCTGGAAGGATTAAGAGGCTGAGGAGCTGATTTATTTAACCTACAGGGGGGACTTTAGTATTGATGATGGAGCTAAAGAGCCCCAGGGGCTGCTGAAGAACTGGGCCTCAACAGACAGATCCATCACAGGGACACAGCTCCAACACAGGCTTCAGTGTCTGCTTTTTTACCTAAAAGAAGTCAACCTTTAAAAAAAACAGGCTGCCACTCATTAAAACAAAGTATGAACACACGACTCTGAGCTTTAAGTAAAGCCACAAGGATCTGGGAAGGAGCAGTAGCGAAACATAATCCCTCACTAATTTGCTGTTGGTTTCTGGCTGCAGCTCTGTCAGAGTGTTAAACACTGTTTTGGAAAATTGCAAACAGTCAACAACGCAGTGTTTTGCTGTTCGCATTTCTGTTTCTGATCACAATTATGTCTACGTAAACATATAACGTCTTGTTCAAACACAGAAGTGCTTCATCTGTGACAAGTTACAGACATGAAGCAAACTGAGCAAACTCCAGGGCTTATGTTTGTTTTTTTAATTCAAAGTATTTTTATGCGTGCTTTATTTTTTATTATGTTTAACAGCTGGTTACCTGAAGATGTTCACAATGAAGCACAAATTTTGCTTTTATACGATTAAGAATTAAAAAAGGAGTGAGCTGATTGTCTAAAATAAATTGACAATCATTGATTATTTGTTAAATAGACGTTTTCCAGTGATATATTTTTTTAAACTTCGAGGACTTGAGTTTTTTTCTCCACAATATATTGGAATTTATTTAAAATTGGTTTTAATACATTTTCAAAAAAATATTTGATATCTGGTAGTAGTGACAAAACTTGATTGCAGCATTGCAAATGAAAAGTTTAAAGCAATAGCTCAGATCTTTGAAAGTTGCATTCTGTGGAAAGATATGAACAATTAATATCTCACCTGTTGTAGATAGCTCATTGAACAAGCTCATTTTAATTCTGACTGAACTGATGAGCTAACTGCTAGTCCGTGGCGGTCCAAGAACAAAGTGAATTGCTGCTGTCCTAAAACAACTTAAATCCAAAAAATGTCAACAATGTAATGTTCATTTAAAAGAAAACATTTATTTTTTATAAAACTTCAAGAGCAAAGTTGTTTTACGATGGCAGCATTCCGCTTTAGTCTTAGCCCTGTAACCTTTAGCAGTTACTCTGGTCACAACTAAAATGTTCCTCTAAACTGAGGTCATTCAAAGAGCTATGTTGTTTATAACCTTCCACAAAACCCCACTTCAAAGCTCAGAACTATCACTTTAATGTAAAAGAGTGGAGAAAAATGGATGTTATTTTATCTTTGGACCTTCCTCTGTCCTTGAGTGACGTTAGCAGAGGTGGGTTCTGCAGATGTCATGGAGCTGCAGAGGTGCTGACCCACCTTGTACAGGCCGAGGAAGCCGAGGTCTCTTACAACGTTCAGGGCGCTGACCCTGGGGCCCGTGGTGATCTCTCCAGCCACCTGCAGTCGGATCTTAACAATCTCCAGAGGGTTGGTGAAAATCACCTGGGAGGCTCCAGCCTGTGGAGCACAGCAAACACACACAAAACTCAAGTGTTGTATTTATTTTAACATGCAGACATTTATGTTTCTGAGCGTTGTCAAAGGGGTGAACTCTGGCTGAGGCTGCTGATGGTGCGTAAGCATTGTTCCTCGTGGAGTTTTAAAAAAAAATTATCTCAGTAAACTTGAGCACAAAAGATACTTTATTTTCACTCTGATCCCATGTTTTCAGAATGGCCTTGACAGGAGGAAAAAAGCAGGCATTGATAGAAGAACAACTGGGGTTGGGAAAAGTCCCAGTTCGTGGTTGGGAGGCTCTGACCCTGGCACCAGCCCTCTGCCCCCCACCCCCCCGAGGCACCTCCTGCGGCAGGGTGAGCGGCCCAGCCTGGCCTCGCCCTGCACACTTCCCCAATTCACCCCCTCATTCCCTGGGGAGAGTGCTGATTCACCAGGACAGCTCGAGGTCCAGGGAAGAAATGCCCCAAAGGCATGGCACCCTCTGACTCGGGCACATTTATCACCCTCCCCAAATCTAATCAGGCCCCAGGATGGCTGCTGCTGACATTCAGGGCAGGGGTCTTATCTGTAAACATCCGGGCAAAGGGCTAAAAAAAGCTCCGGTACATTTAGTCGTTTTCAAAGAGGAGGAGTAATATCCGCTCCTCTGAAGATTGATGCGCTTGTCTCTCTTTCATCTTCTTCAGCGATAACTCAACTAGTTATCAGATTAACCTGAATTTAAACTTTCATGCGTGTGTCAGAAATCCCTCAGAATCGATCAAGGAAGCCCAAATTCTTGTCGCGTCTCCAGAACGGAGGCATCTTTGTCCTGCTTGAGGACCTGTGCAGAGACCACGCCTCAGGTTTGTGCCCCGTTGTCAAACTCAATCACACTGAGCTTAGACCGGGCTTCGTCCAGAACCCTCCAGGGCCTCCTCCTCCAATTACGCTCTGACAGGGGTCATGACCTCGAAGACCCCCGTCCTCTGAGTCCAACCTGCAGCCTCCACACAGCCCACCTCTTTCATGCACGCAGCGGAGAGGCACAGTGAAGGAATTACATCTTTAATCCAATGTCGCTCTCAGAAAATGTTACTTAGCTGCAAATGAGCCCAGATGTGGAATTTAGAAGTCCCACCTGCGTGTGCAGACTGGTCCAAAGTATGAGTCTTATGGTCTCAAACCAGTGGACATGACAAGCAGAATAATAAACTTTCAGTCTCTTTTACACAAATGAATCACATCAGATAAACATGCACTGAGAAGTCAGATAAAAACAGCAACTCTAAATAAATCCCTTTAATTAAAACAATAGCTGGTGTATTTCCTAATAAATCCAGAATAAATACTTGATGAAGATCTAAATGATGATGAATAGTGTCTTCCTCCTGAACTGGTCAGGGTCATTCAGTTTTCTCTCTCTTTCTGTCTCTCTCGCACAGAAATAAATCAGTAAAAAATGTAACATTAATACAAAATTAAATTAAATCTGCTTTTTCTGAAGGAATGGATGTCACTTACCTCATTACGTGCCAAAGTTTTAGAGATACCATGTGCACAGTTAGCTCTCAGTATTTATTGAGGGTCAGTCTCAGCTACTACCAAATTTAACTCAGTGTCTGTAAATAATTACAACACCGGGGTCATTTTTTGTGTTTGATAAGGCTGATTAGTTGTGCAAAAGTTTTAAGCTAAAATGTCACAATGCGTTGTGCTCAAATCATGTTTTGAGTACAATGCTCAACTACTACCTCAACTGATGTTAGCTCAGTAGCTGTAAAATTAGCAGAAGTACAGTAGTCCCTTATGGCGGGGGATCTGTACCCTGAAGACCCACGACAAGTGAAAAAACACAAAGTATTAATAGTAGTACAAGTAGTAAGTAGTAGTTTTGCAATATTCTAAACAATGTTTCTAAACTCTAAACGCTCTAAAAGAGTACAGCAAGTCATGATTTTAGCTCCCTTCCTTCTCTGCTCTTTGCCACCTGCAAGCTCTCCTGGCCACGCCCACTTCTCTGCTCTGCACGCTGATCAGCTGATCAGCTGCAGCAGGAAGTTTATTCTGCAGCTGCAGGAGGTGCTAAATAATTTTAAATAATTTATTTTAAATAAACATTCCATGACGATCGTGCGACTCATCCTTCAGTCAGTCAGTTGTGTGTCAGGTCCAATCTTATTTTGAAAAACCGCAACAGAGCGAGTCCGCGATAAACGAACCGGGACTACTGTATAACTATTTTTTGTGTTTGCTAAGGTCAGTTGGCTGTGCACGCCATCTTGAATCAAGTTGACTCAAAAAGCTAATTAGTTGTTAATCATGTCAACCCAATGATTACTTTCTCAAAGTTTATGAAAACTTATTATGTGATTTAAAATTTAAATGGTATAGATAAAAGAGCAAACAGACAAAAAAAAATCACTCCTGCTCAAATGGGAGATACAAACTAAAGGCTAGTAATGTTAGTGCCCTAGAGCTGTTTCAGTCGTGGTTATACCACCAGTAATTTTAGTTCAGAGCTGTTTTGGCAGCTTGAGAGGTTTAATGTTGGAGTAGACTGTTGTGTAATAATATAACACAGTTATTTAAATATTGGCTCTGAATGCCTTATGGTTCAAGGAACACTAATACTCCTGTTTTTTCTGTTAAGTTTGAATACTTTGTAAGATTTTGCTTAAATTCACCAACGTATAAAATTTCATTTGTCAGTCAAGGACACTTAGTCTTTTCAGTCTTAGTTTAGTGTTTATGCAGAATTGACAAAAGTAATCCTTACACATCCGCCAGCGAGAATCTCCGCTATTAAAGGGATGGTATCGTCTTGTGTGGTGAACTTGTCTCTGACGAAATCATTCACCTGAGAAAAAAAAGAAAGAAAGAAGGAAAGAAGGCATTAAGGAAGAAGCAGTCGTCAAATGAGACGCAATCTTAGAAGCAAAAGGCGTTAATGTTAACTTGAGCTGCAGTCACATCTTGATTGCGGAGGTTCTTCTTGCACCGTGCGTGTTTTTCATTCACAGCGCATCACTCAGAGCAACTTTCTGAACACTGAGCTACGCGGCCGAATGACTTGCCGTGAGTTTGATAGCTTTCTCCGGGGCGACGCCGATGAGCTGCGGGAGGAGACCTGCAAAATATTATTCATAGATACCATCAGAATACATAACAGAGACAAGGCTTGCCTTGAAACGAGCGCACCTTTTTAAAATCTGTGCTGAATGAATACATCCAGAGCTAGAACAATGGAAGCTGCAGGGTTCCTGCGAGCATAACACAAGCCCATAAATATTTACAGATGCTGGCTGACACATGTGACACAAAGATCCCATTGAGGAGCAACGAAAATCTAAAAAATATGACACTGCTCATGCATTTTGGGATCAGCACTGCCGGGGCTTGAGCCCACTGTTGGGGAACAGAGAGAGCTGTGTGGTCACGGGGAGGCCGGGTGCTGGACTGGTGATAACTGCCGTACCGTTTCACCGTCTGTCCTTCATCAAACCAGATAAACTTCTGAAGGAGCTGCTGAGTGACTGCTACTGGTATGCAGCCAGAAAACAGCCGAGCACGTCTGTCTCTGAGTCAATCACCCTCTTATCATGTGCAAGAGAGGAGGAAGGAGGGGGGCAGAGGGAAGCAGATCAGAGCAACGAGGCTCTGCAGAGTTCAGTAGATGGCAGTCTTGACTTCCCTCATAAGAAGAGCTCGGGGGTAGAAGTGTTGTATATCACAAGCCCTCGGCACCATTATCACCTCTCTGCTGCTACATGAATACTGCTGGCCATTCTCCTCAGGGAACTCTCCCAGGTACTGAGATAATAAAACCCCCTGGGTGTTGCTTTATTCTCTGCTGAGCGAGGAGGGCAAAGGTTTCTGGTATCAATTAGCAAACCATCGCTCCCGACATTAGAACTCGAGCAAATCCTGAGACTTTCCCATCACGCTTTCTGCTCGGCACGCCACGCACATGTCGGGCCTTTTCACACGCTATAAAAGTCTATGGATTACCTCTGTAAAACCCGAAGAACCCCTCGTAACGGAGCACTTTCTTCGCACAGTCAAAGCTGTTCTTGTACATCAGCTCTCCCACGAAGGAGCCTGTGGAGCGCTGGTTCTGCATCCGAGTCTTTACCAGGTCGATGGGGTACACGGCTGTGGCGCCGGTGGCTGCAAACACAAACACGAGTTTTTCACAGATTTAATGTTTTATAGCACAAACAACTTGAGTTACAAGCAGAATTTATATTATATACAGTTCCAAAACTGCAGTCTGCAGAGCTGCAACACGTTTTAGTTGTTCGTTTCCTCTTTAAAACATCAATCCTTAAAGGAATAGTTAAGAGGCTTTGAATTGGAGCTCTGCAAAAATCAACACTATCTTACCTGTTGTAGATGGCTCTTTGAATGACTTTGGTTTGGAAAAATTGTTTGAATCTGATCTGATTGATGAGCTAATCTTCAACACAGAACTCTTGCAAATAACTGTGTAAAGTTAAATTAACTCCGATATAGGGTTTATGAAATTAGCATTTTCAATCAATATGAAACTGAAATGTATGAAAGATTGTTTTAAGATGGCAGCAATCCACCGTAGTCTCTGACTCTGACTAGCCTTTAGCTTGTCCTTCCAGTCAGAACTGAAGTTTTTCTAGAAACTGACGTCATTCAAAAAACAATCAACAACAGAAAATATTCATACCATTTTCCTTAGAACCCTGCCTCAAAAGATCAGAACCAGAGCTTTAGAATAAAGAGTTTAATCTCCCTATCACAAAGTAAAGCAACAATGTAAAGCATTTGGCAAACCGAAACTATTCCACATAATATAAATGAGACAAAGTGAAAACAAAGAACCTTGAAAAATAAAAATTATGTCGAAGACATTTTAATCTCCTAGAGACACATCTTTCCACGTTAACTCATTTGTTAGATACATGCTTAATAATAAATCCATGGTAGTGTTCGTGCGATTATACTTAACAAGCTCTGTGTGTGAACTAAAAACACCTGTTAAGAGTCTGGGGACTGTGAGAAGTATTGAACCAACAATGTTTAAAAAAAAAACGTGACCAAGCTGCAGTAAAGCCCAGCTCTTCAGCCTGCACGTCGCGTCTTGTCTGACATTAAACGTTGGTGTAGCGACTCGTCTCCAACAAGCGAAGAGCACAAAGGGTGAGAAAAATAAACTCATCACAACAAAGACATGGCTTCACTTGATGTCTTGCGATACGCATCTCTCCGACCATCTTAATCGTTCACCGCTGAGGGACGGCTGCGTGTATGGAGAGAGAGCGCACGCACAACGCAGAGCTACAGCGTGCTCCTATCTGTGGGGCGGTTATGTCAGAGAGGTTCCTTGTATCAGTTCCCTCCTGTGTAATTAGGAAGGGAGATTCCAGAGAGTTCGGTTCCGGAAGATTTGTGTCATTCCAAAGGTTCGGCTCCAACGACAGCCTGGAGCCACCGGTGGCACGGCAGCACAATGCCGGAGCCTCACATCACAGCCCTTCTCCCTGCAATACAATGGCCGGCCCCGGGGCCTAAGCGCACCAGTCGGTCGGCTAAGGTTACCCCTCAGGCGAGCCGGAGGCTCTGCTGCAGACATGTCACTCACCTCCAGCGATTGAGCCCAGAGTAAACCTGTAGGCAGATTCTGCAGCCTGGAGCCAGACGGGCCGAGACGATTCGTGAGTGTGCTGTATGGGAGGAAAAGAGACACCAACGGTCAAATGATTCTGGGAAAAGACGGGATCAGTGGACTAACCATGAATCGACTGGCTATCCAACCACAGCAAACCAGATACATTGTGGAAAATAAAGCGTTATGGAGAACTCAATGAGGCAAAGGAATGGAGTCATTTCATACACTGTCTGACTCACCACTGGATTAGGTGTCAGAGAAAGATTAGCCATGGAGAATAACTGTGCAAACCTGAGTTTTCCACACATGCTACACGTGGGAGGCTACAAACTAAAAGCCCTTTACTCCTTTATTTTTACAGCAAACTGAAATTTCGCTCTTATCAACCTGATCTGCTTTGGTGTTTGATGCTGAAAGCGGAGCCCCTTTGTTTTGGCTGCGGCGAATGGGAGCAGATTAGCCCGACAACCTTTTTCCATGTACAGATAAGAATCTACATGAATATTGCACAGTTAGAACGAGGCTCTGTTCGAACTATGTCCATGATGGGGGTGTGAGTAACTTCTTCCAGACTATAAACGTGAAGGGAGTAAAGCGGATCGCTCTTTTCCTCTTCCCAGATGCTTCCACTGAGGGCTGCATGCTAACAAGATCGAGGTCTTGATCAAAGGCTTTAAACAATTAGTCTACTTCCAGTGAAGGGCAGGCCTGAGAATTGCAGCATCCCCCCCAAAGGAATCAAATTCCAGACCTCTGAGCATGAGTGTCCTGAAAGCTCTGACAACAGCCTGACACAGAGCCATGTTATCCGGTGGAAGCATTTTGTTCGCCCACATCTACCTTGCCTCCCACTCCCCTCCTGCCATTAGCAGACTTTGCTAAAGGCTTCTAAAACTTCTCGAGCCCCACGGTGATAAAAGCCTCTTATTAAGCGCCTTAGATGTGTGATTGCAGCTGATGCGAATGTGCCGCCATACTGAATAAAATAGGAAGAGCCTTTCATGGAGAGCTGCGACGCAACAATCCATTCCTCTTGTATGACTATAATTGGTGTACTTTTATCTGGGAGTTTAAGAAATGCACTTCACAAGGGAAGAAAAACACGGGCTCTCTGCTAATTCAGCGGCTGAACATTCTGCCTTTTTTTTTCCCCGCCGCTGCTTTCTGAGAGGAAAGCAGAAAAAGACGAGGAAAAGGCTTTGATGAAAGGCAGCAGGAGGATGTGAGGCGTATTAGAGGAGGCACTCAGGCTACCGGTCTCTGGGTCTCTGCAAGGTGGTACGGCATGGCTCCTTCTTCCAGTGGGGCGACTCTCTCGATGTCTGCATGATTCAGCCGCCTTTACAAACAACACCAGGGGGTGAGAAAGAGCGGGAGTTAGGCCAGGAAAAAAAAAAAAACATGTAGACTGAGCAGCAGCCAGTGATGTAAGATTTTCCATGGTTTTTTTTTACTGCCATATAACTCAAAGTTACTGCAACTTTAATTTAAGCCAATATAAACACCAGACAAACAAAGCTGGACGAGTGCCCACAGCCCAGCGAGTAAATGAAAGTGTTTTCTCACTAAATGTTTCAGACACAAATGTTTCCTGCTGGCCTGATGCATCATAAAGTCTGTATCTGTGCTTTATGTTTGTCTTGTAAAATCAGCCAGTGGAGCCACCGCTGCTAAACTAACAAGCCAATAACTTTGTTTTTACAACCAGTAAACAAACCTGTAAGATATTTAATCCATTCATGCTAAAGTATAAAAGTGTTGTGCAAAGTCTGTTAGAATCCTCATAAACAAACTTTCAGAGCCTGAAATGAAAAAAAATTAATATTACTTTATTATAAAACAGTTCTTGATACTGAAAATGGTTATTTTCAGACCTACACGCACACAGATGTATGATAAAACAGTCTAATCGGAATTTTTCAATCAAAATCCACAAAATGTTCAAATAATTTGAAAAATTCTTCAGATCTTTTGGTGTGGGGTTCTGTGGAAAGGGTATGGATGATTATAATTTTACCTGTTGTAGATAGCTTTTTAAATTTCTTCATTTTGGAGAACTAATTCTGATTGTATTGATGAGCTAACAGCTAATCTGTTCAGCTAAGACAAATGTAGATTTCTTACAATCTGAAAAGATTTGACAGTCTTGTGTGAACCTTTGCGTTGTTGTCATTGTTGCATTACAGTTATTCTAGTAAAACATACTGTATTCCTGAAGTGCCTCAGGCTGTATGGAAGTTGTTACAGCTAGCTGCACCTGCTGCTATTCACAAAGTCAGTACCAATAACCATGAAACTCTACATGTACAGTAGTCCCTCGCTACGTCACGGTTAGTTTTTCGCGGTCTTGCTCTATCGCGGTTTTTCAAAGTAAGATTGGACATGACACACAATGGCTGACTGATGGATTAGCTTCACGATCAGCATGGATTTTTTAAATTTAAAGTAAATCATTTTAAATTATTTAGCACCGGTGTGCAGCCCACAGCTATGGGAGAAGCTTCCTCCTGCAGCTGATCAGCTAATCTCCGCTCTGCACAGAGATCAGCTGATATATATATAGATATATAGATATATCTATATATATATCTATATATATCTATATATATATCTATATATATATATATATATATATATATATATACACACACACACTAAAATAAACTACTACCGGTACTTACTACTATTTGTACTACTATTCCTACTTCGCAGTTTTTCACTTACCGTGGGGCTTCAGGGTATGGATCCCCTGCGATAAACGAGGGTCTACTGTAATCTGAAAGTGATGGTGATGTAAAGGTTTTATATAATAGTGTTTGCATAATTTGTGAAATTATGAGTTTGGAGTTGTTTTTTTAAGACATACCTCGTTGATCTGATCTTAGGTAAATTATTTCTCAAGTTATTCAAAGAGCTACCAATAACAGGTTAGATAATTCCTCATTATTTTCTGCAGGACCCCACTTCCAAAGATCTATAACATTAATTAATCTGTTTTTAAAATTACAAATATTTGATATATACTGTATAACTGGTTTTCCCACTATATGTTCAACTCAATAATTCAGGAACTGTTGAAAATTGTCCCTCACGTCAACACGTGCAACTTTTCTTACACGTCTGTTTTCAGATGTAAATGATTGTACTGACGTAATTCTGAGTGTCTGCTTAAAACTGAAAGATTTTTCATGTGTTTGATGACAAATAACAGTAATTATCTGATCTATTTGAAGTCTGTCAATTGTAATGCTGGGGACCGGAGCAGACAGTTTTGCTAAAAAGTTGCTTTTTGTTGAGAGACCCTGACAAACAATTGCTCATACGTGTGGCGTCTTTATAACATTAGGCATCTGCAAGCTGCACTGCAAACTCTATCAGGAAAACTAACTGCATTCTTCTCAAAGGGGCACTGCATTAGTTCATATATAAAAAAAAAACATTTTAAAACCTAATATTTGCACTGCAATCAGGGTGATGCAGCAAGTTACCCAGAGTGAGAGTGGAGGCCGACGAGCTGGAACAGAATGTCTACTTCCATGGGCGTGATCTGGCCAAACTTATTTGCAGAGAGAACAAACTCCTCTATGATTCAGGGAAAAGGAGAGAAACACACAAAACTGTCGAGTTAGTTCAAAAAGTCAAACAGGAAGTTGTTACAAACATTGATTTATTTACAGCTAATTGTATAGTATTTGCAAATTCTTTTTGTTTCTCGTGGTGTGATTGTCTTAATGTTATCAGCTAACAGGAATATTTAAAGAGGTTATAGCAAGCGTTTTAAATCATCCAGCTTGTTTTGTGTGTGCTTTAGCTCCTTCTCTCGAAGCACTACAACCTGAACGTGCACTCTCTTCAAATTTAGCTCTTGGCTGCTGCCTGCTAAGTAACACAGCAGCCATCAGGTGGTCTTTCTAAAAGGAAACTTAATGGTAGTTGTTGAAGAAAGGAAAAGAGTTATTTACTTCCCTAGCTGTCAGAATCAACAGATGCAACCTTTTCTTTCAAGCCTGCTTTCCTGATGCACAGACGGCATTATTGACATATTTTTGTGACTGAAAGCTGACATGTGAGTGTTTGCGTCAAGCTAACGGACATTTCATGCGTTTGGTGACAAATAACAGTAATTATCTGCAAATACTATTTGCCTAATGTCGTCTATGAGGAAAACCAGGGAGGGAAAGCAGAATGTTTGCATCTCGGTGGACAACACAACAGGGAGCGGACGTGACTGACAGCATCGGTTACTCAAGAACAGGGAGGTCATCTGATTTCCAGATTAAAAACGTTTATTTACCTTTGTAATTTAAAGCTACAGTAACTGTCCACACCACTCTGTCAAGACAGTTCAAAATACAATCGAACAGGTGGATTTCACATGTTAAATATAGGAAAATGTTGACTTTTAGGAGATTGTCTGGAGTACCTTTGGTGACCAGAGTGTCTTTGTGTGTGCCAGCAATGGTGCTGTAAATCTTGCGGATCAGCTCCATGTTGTTGAGGAGGGCGTTGAAGGCGTTGAAGTAGGAGAAGCTCACCATGTGAGAGATGCTGCCTCCTGCAGCCTGCAGAAGCACCCAAGATGTTGTCAGGACAGACGCGTCATATGTGCTCATAACATGACGGTCTGTTTTTATTTAAATGAATGCCACCAACAGGTACTACAACTCACTGAAACCAGATTTTCCTCTACAAACGGTGTCAGCATGTGGTGCCTGATGGTGGCCATGATGTCGCTGAAGTCCAAGGCGGTGATGGCGCCACTTTTGTTCTTGTCTTTCATGGCGAACGCCTGGCGCGCGTGCTCCAACTGCAGCTCCTGCAGCAACAGAAAGAGGACGGGGTGCGTTACCTGACACAAAGAGTGTGTTCCTGTGACAAGGGGCACCCCGTTGCAAGTCAGCGGTGACATGAAACTTTGGAGGACAGATATAAAAAGTCATCAGGTGAGACAGAGTCAGACACGGGCTTTCGTAATCACCGCCGTCTCTACGGAGACTAATGGAAACCACGACCTGAGGAGACTGATCTCCGAGCCGAGCGGTGGGGGAGACAAACAGCAGGTGTGTGTGTGTGTGTGTGTGTGTGTGTGTGTGTGTGTGTGTGTGTGTGTGTGTGT